TTTTTAAACTCTTATTTTTGGTGTTTGGATATGCGGTCTCATTACATTGCTGAGGCTGATCTCAGATTCCTGGAGTGCTCAAGTGATTCCCCCTCTTCATCCTTCCGAGTGCTTGGGAGTTCAGTTGTTTTCCACTACACCCATCTTAGTTCCAATAGAGAAAGTATTTGATGTAACCCAGGTATGAATAAAGGGTTTGTGGAATTTTAAAAAAGATTTATTATTTTTATGTGTATAGTGTGCCTTATGTATTTATGTGCACAGTGTGCATATAAGGAGCCTGTGGAGACCAGCAGAGGGTGTATAAGATATTCTTTTTCTTGTATGAGTATAGCGTTTCCTGGAGGGACGGACAAGCATGAAGTGGTGCCTGGGAAGGAAGGAGCTGAGGGTACAACTCTGAGCCCATTTAACAGACATGAATGTTAAACTAAATGAATGTAACACACCAAAAGGGGATGGAAGGGAAATTTGCACCCAGGTTTATTAGGAGGATCTGGGGTGTGGCTGTGTGGTAGCATACCTGCCTAGCAGTAGGTGGGGCCCTGGGTTCTATCCCAGCGTCATCACCATTCCTCCCGAAGGTTCAAATTTACACTGATATTTATTATTTTTCTGGCAGTTGCTTTTTCTTGTTTGGTGTGAGGGAGGAAAAAAAATCTTTTTTTCCCCCCCTCCAAATAATGTCTGAGCTAAATACCGTCCTTGTGGAATAATGGAATGCAACCAGGTAGCATTTCCCTAATGGGGACCAAAGTAGCCTGAGTTTTAAAGAGGAACAGTTTGAGTAGGTTTTTCAAAATGACATTTATTTCTAAGTTCCTGGAAAAGATTGGGTTTATTTTCTCAGACTGTCATAATTTCTGGCCTTGTCATTTCAAAGGTTTTGAGTAAGTGCTGCACAAAATGTACAAGTACAGAAGTTAAGTGTTCTGACATTTGATCCAGTATGGAAAGTACTTTTTAATACTCTTAACCTTTGAGGCTTTGGGAATTCTTGAAAAGAATAAGGAATTCAATTTTATTTATTCTCTCCTGCTGCTAAATGCGCCTTTTGATCAGTGTTCGTGTTTTTATAATTCTTGGATGAAGTGATCTTTCATGAAAAGGGAAAATTATCTTAGTGTAACAGCTTTTCAGATTTGCTTTTCTCCTATACTTGTAAACTTCTTTGAATGTGGAAATATCATTTCCTGAGTTCTTTGAAGAAGCTTAGAGGAAGATCGGGTGTGCCTTTCTGGTCATTAGTACTAGTTAAGTTCACCTATAATGCGGAACCATTTCCCCCCAAGTTCTTTAGTTGACAGAAACTGCTTTTTTAAAATGTTAATAGATTTTTCTAAAAACTTCTTAAGTATTAGACACAGGGAAGTTTATTTACTCTCACTTGTACAAGTTATGTGATGTTTTCAAAGCAGTTCCACATTATTTTCTTTGATTTTTTAGTATATCTTTAGAAGTAGTACTGTGAGCATTTCTTCTTAGTATGGAAATTGAAACTCCAAGAGCTAAACGAATTACTCGTTTAGCCGTAGAGCTTTGTTAAGTACCAAAATAGAAATTTAAGCAAAGCCAGACTAGATTTAGATGTAAAGTTTAGTCCACAAGACTTTGTCCTTGAAACATACATCTGTCTCTGTCTGCTGTCTACTGTATTCTAGGCATTCTGGTCAGATTGGAGATGCACAGATAAGGCACAGATCTTGCCCTCAAGGGCTTGCAGTTAGTGGCAGAGACCACTCAGTGGGAGCAGTGACTAAGTTACCCCACTTAAGGGCCATGGAACTCGGATATTTTTGAGAAAGTAATCTAAATCTTGAAGGATCTAGGGTAAGTCTGGTTGAAGGGTGTGGCAAGCTGTTTGGGCAGACAGAACACAGGTATGTGGGATCTGCTGGTTTCGTGGTGCTTGAATGGGCGTGGTGTGGGCTGTGGAAGCAGACGTGAATGGTACGCCCTGAATTGGGATGTTTGAACTTTAGTGGGTACCAGGAGGGGAGCTTAACTAGGTACAGAACAACTCAGTATATGTACTCTGGCGGTAACCTTCATTCTACAGGCAGGAAGCTAAGAAAAAAAATGTTAGTGAAGTGCCTCCCATGCGGGAGACCTACAAGAACTTGGTACTGCAGTGCATTAGAGGTGAAGACAGTTCTTCATCTCTCTTCTGAGCTCCCAGGTTGAACTAGAAAAATTATGAGGTGAACTTTTTATTGTTTTATTTTAAAATATTTATTATTTTAACTTTATGTGTATATTTTGCCTGCATGTATGAAGATGCACCACGTGCATGCAGTGCCCCACAGAGGGTGTTGGATTTCCTGGAACTGAGTTATGGATGGTTGTTAGCTGCTAAGTGGGTACTGGGAAATAGAACCTGGGTCCTCTGGAATAACAGTATGTGCTCTTAACTGCTGAGCCACCTCTCCAACCCCAAACGTTAACTTTTAAAGAGTATTGAAAGCTGGGCATGGTGGTGAACATCTTTAATCCCAGCATTCAGGAGGCTGAGGGAAACTGCGAGTTCAAGGCCAGCCTGGTCTACATAGTGCGTTACAGACTACCCAGGACTACATAGTGAGACCCTGTCTAAAGAATAAGTAAAAAATATTGGAACATTTGAACAGTTCTCAAATAACTTAGATAAGGCTTATTTCATTTTCTTTAAAAATACTTTTTTATGTGTGTGTGTGTATGTGTATGCGTATGCCATGTGGGTGCAGGTGCCCAAGGAGACCAGAAGGAGGCCTCGGACCTCCTAGAGTTGCAGTTATAGCAGTTAAAAGCTGCCTGATTGAATTTGGGTCTCCTGAAAGAGCTGCAAGTGCTCTTAACCGCTGAGCCATCTCTTTAGCCCTCTAGTCTCACATTGTTGAATTTACTGTTAGGAATCTTTCAGTGTGGCATTCTGTATATTCTTATTTGAAAGCAAGATGTGTTTATGGTCTGGTTGTCAGGTGATGAGGTTTACAAAAGGCAGGCCTTGTGTGGAATCTGTTTTATTTGCCTGTTTTTTAAAATTACTTTTTATGTGTATGAGTGTATTGTCTACATGTGTGTAGGTGTACCCATGTGCAGTGCCTGTGGAGGTTGGAAGAGGGCATCGGATTCCCCTGGAACTGGAGTTATAGACAGTTGCTAGCTGCTCTGTAGGTGTTAGGATCTGAACCCTGGTCCTCTGCAAGAGCAGTCAGCTCTTGACCAGCCCATTTGCATGGCTTCCCATGCCCTCTCCCAGCACCCCACCCAGAAATGAATTCTTAGTTCAACACCTGTAACCATCATTTGCTAATGCCTTAATCTTATAAAGTGCTGCCTCGGTTACGCCTCTATAATACTAAAATTTAAGAGTAAAACAGTACATGGATATATTTCACAGTGCTCTAGGATTGAGGTGCCACAACAAAATACCACAGACTGAGTAACATAAGTGTTTCTCAAAACAGTTTGGAAGCTGACAAGTTCAAGATCAGGGATCTGGCTTATAGGGTTCCTGCTGAGGACTCTCCCTGGTTTGTGGGGGCCTGCCTTCTCACTAAAGTTCTCATGTAGGCTTTCCTCTTCCACATTTTGGTGGTGAGGGTTGTGTGAGTGAGCTCTTTGGTTTCTCTTAGGACACTTATCTTTTTTTTTCCCCCCAATATGTATTTTTTATTGAATTTTTGTGCATTTCATACATCTTAATCATATTTACACCCTCCCCTATTTCCACCTCTCGCCCCATAGCTGACTCACTGGATTTCTTGCATTCTGTCATGTATGTTAAGGCCTATTGAGTCAAGTTTGTGTCCCCAAGATGTCCCTTGATGTGAGTTCATCCACTGGAGCCTGGGCAGCCTATCTACTAATAGCCCTCCCTTAAAGATCAACTCTCCCTCACCCAGCAGTGATCAGTTGCCAATAGTTGCTTGGCTAAGGTTGGGTCTTCCTGCCCATTTCCCCAATTCTGCGCTGGACTTTTGTCTGGTTTGAGTTTGCATGGGCCTTGTGCATGCTGTCACCATTGCTGTAAGTTCATATGAGCAAATTTCCAGAGGTCTGGAAGACTCAGTTTTCTTATGGTCATCCACCACACCTGGCTCTTACAATCTTTAGAGGGACACTATCTTATAGGACCAATGTGGCAACCTTATGACCTCATGGAATTCCAGTTATTTCTTAGTTCAAATATAGCTATACCAGGAGACAGACATTTCAACATGAGAATTTTGCAGGGATGCATACATGATACAGTTGGAAATGTTTCCTTGGTGGCTATGAGGCTGAGCATTTTGTAGCAGTGAGTTCATAAGAGGTGTGCATTATATTTCACTGCTGTCTAGAGCTGCAGATGTATATGGGTCATTTGAGTCCTATTCTAATGTTGATAGCTGGTTAACTACAGAAACTTTTTACATCCAAGCTAACGCAGAACTCTGGTGCTGTACCTATAGTAATTATAAAGATTTATTGACTATTCTAACACTATCTGGAGCCTGTTTTACTTGATTGAATCCCCTCTCCCCCGATTCTAGGTCCCAGTATAGTTTGGTTCCTGTAGGAAATGTCTACTTAATTCAGTGATAATTTTTTAAAAATCATACTTCTCTTTGAATGTATTTTCCACTAAACAAGAGAGCAAACCTTTCCTTAATTTTAATATGCTATAATTTTACAGGTTTTGTTTTGCTGTTGTTCTTTATTGAGATAAGATCTCCATGTAGACCAGGCTGGCCCTGAACTCACAGAGATCCACCTACCTCTGCCTCCCGAGTGCTGGGAGTAAAGATGTGTATCACCACGCCCGTGATTATGCAGTTTTTAAAGATGACTAAATCAAAGTTTCACACAACAGATTGTGAAACAAAGATAGCCTTAACTGACTTCAGAAAATAGGCATCTCTCTCTTGTGAATCTCTGTGAATTTTGGATTCCTGTTTACATGGGTTTATATTTCAGGCAATTGAGGAAGGACTTCTTTGTGGTTCTCAGAATGCTCATGTTGATGTTCTTTCTCACAGGCCAGTCCTCCAGATCTTTATATTGAAAGATTTAACATAGCTCTGGGACAGTACATGGGAGCATTGCAGAGCATCGTGCCTCTTTTCATATATATGGTAAGTCAGAGCTTCTTCCTTTCCAAACCACAAAGAGTTAAATGTGGTTTTCTTTTACTATGTCTTGTATATCCTCCATTCCTGACTTCTGAGACCACAGATAGTGTGTGGTTGAGGTAGGAGGATCCAGTTCTTCACAGCACATTCTAAATAGAATAACCCTAAAAATGCAGGTGAGAGAAGTAGAAGAAATGGTTCCAATTACGGGTAAGAAAGCCACCCCTGGCTTTTAAATTAGATTTGTTCTGTGACCGTTTCATGCGTGTATATAATGCATTCTGTTTCCTTCCTTCCCCAACCCTCTTTGATCTCCCATCCCTTGATCCCCACAGATCCCCTTCCCACATTCATGCCAAGAAAAGATCTTTCTAAATTAAAACCAAGCCTAAAAACCAAGAAGGATGATCCTAGATGATAAAAGAAAACCTTTGTGCAGCCAACCACCAGAAACAAAAGTAAACTGGGAAAATTTTTAGGAGATTTGCAAAACATTAAAACACAGATTTATTATTTTTTTAAAAATAATCCATTTTCATGGATTAAGGAAAAGGTCAACTGCTGTTTTTAACAAAAAATATGAATTGGATAGCTTACAGAAAATACATGTAGTTAAATGTGTTTTAAAGTGCTGGGGTATTTTTAAGTGCATGATAGTATTCAGTTCTGATGAATCTGTAGGGAAACGAGCTCTCCCCTGCCAGTAAAAATGTGAATTGGAAAAATTCTTTGAAAGACTCAAGAATTTTAACTTAAGGATTTTTCTGAGTCATAAATATGTATAAATACTATCCATATGTATAAGAGTTTGTGGTATTTTTTATAGAACATTGGGGAAATTTGTATTGTTGTCAATTAGGAGTTATTTAAATAATTTATGGGGGGTTGGAGAGGTGACTCAGCAGGTAAGACCTGGGTTCAATTTCCAGTACACATGACAGCCGTCCATAACTCCAGTTCCAGGGGATCTTGTGCCCTCTTCTGGCACCTGCAGGCATTGCATGGCATGGGTTACATACATGCAGACAAAATACTCATATACATAAAAAAATACAAATAAGCCCGGCCTGGTGGCACATGTCTTTAATCCCAGCACTTGGGAGGCAGAGGCAGGTGAATCTCTGAGTTCAAGGCCAGCCTGGTCTCTATAGTGAATCCAGGCCAGCTGAGGCTAGAGGGAGACCCAAAAAACAAACCAACAAACCAACAAAAAACCCCAATAAAACAGAAAAAAAAAAAAAACAAATAAAATTAATTTTAAAAATAATTTGTGGGGCCTTAGAGAGATGGCTCAGTGGTTAAGAGCACTGTCTGCTCTTACAGAGGACTCAGGTTTGGTTCCCGACACCCAGATGGTGGATAACCATCCTTACTCCAGTTCCAGGGAATTCAGCATTCTCTCCTGACCTTTGTGGGTATTGTAAAACATGAGTGCGCTTACATACATGTAGACAATACACTCATAAACTGAAAATTCTGAAAGTAATAAATAAAATTTTTTTTAATATTATTTTTATGTGTATGAGTATTGCCTGCCTGTAGGTAAGTGCACCCGTGTCATGCAATGCCTGCGAGGACAGAAGAGGCCATTGGATCCCCTGGAACTGGAGTTACAGACAGTTGTTAGCTGCCATGTGGGTGTTGGGATTCAAACCTGGGTCTTCTGTAAGAACAACCAGTGTTCTTAACTGCTGAGCCATCTCTCTGGCCCATAAATAAAATTTTTTTTTTTTTGTCTTTTTGAAACAGGGTCTCTCTGTAGCCCAAGCTGTCCTGGAACTCACTGTGTAGACCAGACTGGCCTTGAACTCACAGAGATCCACCTGCCTCTGCCTCTCGAGTGCTGGGATTAAAGGCATGCACCACCACGCCTGGACATAAATAAAATTTTTAAAAAATATTTTTAAATTTTATTTATGTGTATGAGTGTATTGCCTGCATGTATGTAAGTGCACCAGTGTGATGCAGTGCCCATGGAGGTCAGAGGAGGCTGGAGGTCGGATCCCCTGGAACTAGAGTTACAGATGGTTGTTAACCACCATGTGGGTGTTGGGACTCGAACCTTGGTCCCTAAAAGAGCAGCCAGTGCTTTTAGCTGCTGAGCCATCTCTTCAGCCCCAATAAATGTTTTAAATTAAAATTAAAAAGCAGTTTATGGAAGACAGTAGGAAAATGTGCATTTAAAATAATGGCACACATATACTTTTTTGTAGAAAATGGCCTTCAGAACATGACATAAGGGTAAAACACCAGGCACAGAGCAACAAGTTGTGTCCCTCAGGTGATCGTACATGTCCACACTCGGTGTGACTGAGAATGGATGGCATGGTTTTCTTAGTGTAGAAAGTGACACCCGGGGATAGAGCACTGGATATGTTCTGGGAGGCTTTTAGCCGTCCACTTCTTGTAGTTTTTTTAACCATGCACATCTTGTGATTAGAGGTTCTTTTTTTTTTTTTGTCTTTTTGAGACAGTGTCTCCCTGTAGCCCTGGCTGTCCTGGAACTCACTATGTAGACTAGGCTGGCCTTGAACTCACAGAGATCCGCCTGCCTCTGCCTCTCGAGTGCTGGGACTAAAGTGTGCGCCACTATGCCCGGCTGATTAGAGGTTCTTTAAAGAGAGAAAAGCACTGTCAAGAAAGAACTTAAGATCAGCTAGCACCCTGTTAGCATTCATCTTTGTTTCTCACTTGTACGCACCAAACTAACACGTAGACGTGAGCAGATTTTTTTAAAATTTATTTTATTTTTATTTTTTGTGTATGCGTGTATTGCCTGCATGTAGGTAAGTGCACCTGTGTCGTGCAGTGCCTGCGGAGGTCAGAAGAGGTGGTTGGATACCCTGGGACTGGAGTTATGGACAGTTGTTATCTGCCATGTGGGTGCTGGGATACGAACCCAGGTCTTCTGCAAGAACAGTCAGTGTTCTTAACTGGTTGCTGAGCCATCTCTCCAGTCCTGACATGATCAGATTTGATGTTTTTTGTTTGTTTCCTTTTAATTTTTTGTTTTTCTTAGGCTGATTTTGATTGTAAGAAACAGAAAACTTGATTCAGAATGATTTCAGGAAGAGAAGGTCTCTCATATTAAAAGAGTTCTCAGAATTAGGCAGTTGGAGTCGGTGGTTCTATTCTGTCTTCACTGCCCACCTCACAGTTCATGTTGTTCTCAGGCTGTGAGTGAACAGCAAAGAGCTCGGCTCGCTCTCAGCCTGATCAGTGTGTCTGCCTCTGAGCAGAGATGTATCTGGAACCCATACAGGGAATGAGGAGACCATTGCTGAAGGGAATGGGCACTGGGGAGTCTCCCCAGAGTGCTTCTGCTGCCTACTCTCAGCCTGGGTGCTGATCCCTGCAGTGCCCTTCTGAAGTGTTTCCCAGTATTATAGCCTTTTGATGCTGGTGGAGGACTTTTAAAGGGTGTAACAAACACATGGTGCCTCCAGACCATCTCTACATTCCTGGGAAGTCAACATTTGGATCCTCCAGTGTTCTTTCAACCTCTTGCCCAAAAGATCTATGACTGCGTATGACTGGGTTTTGGAATTTGATTTTTTTTTAATATATATATATTTTATTTTTATTTTACCTGTATGAGTGTATTGCCTGTGTGTATGTGAGTGCACCCGTGTTGTGCAGTGCCGCTGAGGTCGGAGGGCGTTGGATTCCCCTGGAATTGGAGTCAAGGATGGTTTGTAGCTGCCATGTGGGTGCTGGAAATCGAACCCAGGTTCTCTGCAAGAGCAGTCAGTGTTCTTAACCGCTAAACCATCTCTCCAGACCTTGATGTTTTTTAAATTGATACCTTTATGTGTTATTTCCCAAAACAGTATTTAGTGCTTCAGTTCATAACAATTAATACTTCTTTTCATTGATACATAAATATTTGCTTCTGTTTCAGAATAAGTTCTACATTGAAACTAAGCTTAACAGAGACTTAAAAGATGACCTTATAAAGTTGTTTACGGAACACGTTGCAGAAAAGCACATTTACAACCTAATGCGTAAGTACTTTGACTTCTTCTGGGGGTGAGTCCGCCAGCAGCGATCTCCTCTTTTCCTCCCTTCCTTTTTGGGCTCTCTTGCCCTTTCCTTCATCTGAGAACCTTTTCTCCAGTATTGACATCTTCAGAGCCAGAGGGCAGGAAGTCTTGAAACCCACCCTAGTCTAGGGAGAGAGACAACTGAAGGATTGAAAATGTGGCCTGAAGGTCACCCAGTTACCTGGAAGCCACTTAGGCAGGTCACTCATGGACAGTGTCTCATGCCTGGCCTAATCCTGTTGCCTTTTCTTCCTGACAAGAGGGAGCATGAGGGGTAGTTCACTTGTAACTTCCAGTGGCCCCAGGAGTGAAAGGCTAGCACAGGATCCTGTCTGGTTTCTGCTAGTTAGACTGTCATTCACTGTGTTAGACAAACTTTTAGCCTCTTGTGACCATGCATTTACTCTTCTGTGAATTAGGTTTTTAATATCTTCGCCATGACTGTGAGGGTGGTTTAGTATGTATGCTAAGCCCAGTCAGCCTTCCTGAATTCTCCCTGTCTTCAGGTCACCTGCCTCTCACGGTATGTGCCATCCCATCATCCTTCTCTAAGGAGTGTCCCTCTCAAGGGGACTCCAGGGCTTCCCATCGCCCATCTCAGCCCCTTTACAAGCTCATCTCTTGGTCGGTATCCAGCAAGGCAGTTTTTAAGAATTTGGCACAAGTTTGGGTTTATAGGTGTATATTTTCTTGCCTTCTGTTAAGCTGTAATTAGTTGCTACCACTGAACTTTTACTAGAATTTACAAAATAACTGCTTTAAGCTTGACTACAAACCCTTTTTTCATTTTTTATTTTAAATTAAGAGAAGGGATTTACATACTGGGTTGGTTTATTTTTGAAAGGCATGATTCCACTTAATAATATGTAGATACTGTCATCATTGTGTTCTCAAGAGACCTCAGAATCCAACAGAGAGACTGAAAGTGTGGCCTGTGACTTCTGCTCTGTTTAACGCTGAACTGATAATGTAGAAGAAGCATCTTTGCATGTTAGTTTTGAGCTACTCTAGCTGTAGTTTCATTTGGTTTTGTTTTTGAGATAGAGGTTTTCTGAAGCCACGTTGACCTTGAACTTTGAACAGTCCTCCTGTGTGAGCCTCTGAAGTGCTGGGGTTGCAGGGGTGCACTACCATACCAGACTGCTGATTATAGACATTTAAGTATTTCCTTAGGTGCTGACAGTTGTGTTTTGTTGTAAAATACAGCATATTTTCTTTGTTAAAATTCTTTTTTTAAAATTTTATTTATTATTTTATGTGTATGCATGTATTGCCTGCATGTAGGTAAGTGCACCCATGTCATGCAGTGGCTGTGGAGGTCAGAAGAGGTTGTCTGATCCCCTGGGACTGGAGTTACGGAAAGTTACTGGCTTCCATGTGGGTGCTGGGATTTGAACCCGGGTCTTCTGCAAGAACAGTGTTCTTAACTGCTGAGCCATCTCTCCAGCCCCTTCTTTGTTAAAATTGTATGAAGAAATGCTACATCTAGTAGAAATACTTTGTGTCCTTTCTGAACATGTGTGTACTTGCTCATAATTTGCAAGTCACCCCTGTCGGGCATGTGAAAAGAATGTTCAAAAGAAAATGTTGTGTCTCGATCCTAGTGAGCGCTGCCTAGTCTGACTTCCCATGAAATGGACACTCAAAGGCAGATACGCCTTTCTTTTTCCCATTAAGTGGAAAAAGCCCTTAAACTTTTGTAAATTGGATAAAACTGAGTTTATTAGGTATTCATTGAGCAATTACTAGCCATTGTATTTAGAGTGAAGAATGTGCTAAATACTGTTGGTCCTGGAACAAGGACCGCTATAAATGTTTTAACAGTGTTTGTGGGTGATCATCACAAGGATTTTTGACCATACACACACTTGCACACACACATACACAGAGTTTACATGTTGTAGGACCTGTTATAGATGCTTCACAAATACCCATTTAAAAAACATTTCATAGGACAAGTAGTTTTTACCAAAATTTTGTGTCAGGATAGCAGTGATTCGGGACTGGTGTTTTGACTCCAGTGTCTGCAACAGAGCATAGCTACACTATAATTCCTCTGATTTCTGAGCGCTGGGATTAAGGGAGTATGTCAACACACCTAGCATAGTAAAATTTAAAGAAAAAAAAACATCCTGGGTAAACCCATTGCACTGAGGATTACTTGAAAGATGAGTGGGGCCCAGGACCCAGTGAGATGCTTAAGACTTTGATGTGATGACCCTACCCCTCTACGTTTAACACTGTTGTTTATCAACATCTGTGAATAATGGGATCCTGTTTCTTTAATACTTGAGTTTTAGAAGAAACCTACTATTAAGAGTAACAGTTTACTGGGCTGGAGAGATGGCTCAGTGGTTAAGAATACTGGCTGCTCTTGCAAAAGACCTGGGTTTGATATCCAGCACTCTCATGGCATCTAACAACTTACCGTAATTCACGTTCCAGGGGAATTCAGTGCTGTTCTGACCTTCGCCGGCATTGCACAACATGGGTGCACTTAGGCACATGCAGGCAATACATTCATACACATAAAATAAAAATAATAAAAATACTTAAAAAAATATAAAAAGAGCAACAGTTTACTAGTACCTGTCCATGTAAGAGCTGTCTGGTATGTATGGTGAAGGAGAGAGTATGTATAGAGTTCAGAGTGGAACACAAGCTCCAACCTCTTCTGCCACCAGCTAGCTCTGAGTTTGGGCCAGGTATTCTGTGGTTTTTTTTTTTCTTGGCTTTGATTTTTGTATGTGTATTTGATTTTTAGTTTGTTTATCTATAGCTTTCTTGTCTGTTTTTTTTTTTTTTTTTTTTTTTTTTTAAGATGAAGCTCGTGAGAATTAAGCCTGTGTGGAGTTGCTAGTGCTGTCTAGATGCTCAGTAAATATTTCCTTTGTCTTTCAAGATGCCTCTTCAAGTACCAATTTCTTTTTTCCTTCAAAAGGGAGATTAGCTAGAATATCTTTTAAATTTCAGGTGCATTTTCTCCAAAGAGTTTAGGTAGGGAGGATCTTAATAAAGTATTAAAATGCCTTCTCGACTCTTAATAGTCTTTTATTTATGAATTTTAGTTGATGAGGGATTTGAGGTCTTGTTTTTTTAATGTAGAGTCTCTTGTAGCCCAGGCTGGCCTCAGACTCTTGAAAATGGTCTTGAACTTCTGATCCTCCTGTGTCCACATTCCACGCCTGGTTTATGTGGTGCTGGGAGTAAACCCAGGGCTTTGTGCATGGTAGGCAAGCAGTTTACCAAGTGCACTACAGCCCAGCGTCCGTTCTTGTATATGATTATTTTCAGTTAATTCATCCCAAGTTATTTGTACATATTTCATATATGTCTTTGTTTTGGATTTGTCATTTCTTCATGGCTCTCAGATTGAAACAGTGATCATGACAGTTGGCAGAGGTACATACTTGGCCACATATTGAGTGTGTCGTTTGAACATGAAGGCCTCAGTGATTGGTCAAAGACTAGGAACACGGATTAGTAAAAAGTGAGCACTTAGACATGAAGTACATGCTGGGTACCTGAGACTTTGAGAACTTATAACATTTAGAATTAAATTTTTTTTTTTGTCTTTTTTTGAGACAGGGTCTCCCTGTAGCCCCAGCTGTCCTGGAGTTCACTATGTAGACCAGGCTGGCCTTGAACTCACAAAGATCCGCCTGCCTCTGCCTCCTGAGTGCTGGGATTAAAGGCATGCACCACCACGCCTGGCTAGAATTTCATTTTTTAAATACTACATTTTTAAGTAACATGATTTTCTGACATATTTGTCATCCTTAAAACTTACGTTTTTCGAAGTCGTAACGATGGAAGGTGAAATGGGAAGGGTAAACTTGAGCAATGCATCTCTGATGACCTTTATTAATAAACTCCACTGAAAGTCACATTCTATGTCTGAAGCTCCTGTCCCTTGAAGTAAGGTGTCTATTTTTAAAAGAAGACATGGGTAGAGGAAAATCAGTTCATCATAACCCTGCCTTAAGTAAAATCCTGTCATGTGGTTTCCATTTTTTTTTTCCCCCTCATCTTTTTGAGACAGGGTCTCCCTGTACCCCAGCTGGCCTGGAACTCACTATGTAGAGCAGGCTGGCCTTGAACTCACAGAGATCTCCCTGCCTCTGCCTCTGCCTCCCGAGTGCTGGGACGGACCAAAGGCATGTGCTACTACGCCTGGCAGTTTCCATTTTTTTGTTTGTTAGTAAATCTTTGAGTGGTAAACTAAAAATCAACTGTTTTAGGTTAGTAAATTCATGTTCTGTTCAGTAAATAGTGGGATTTGTGTCAGTTTATGATATGTCTAGAGTTATTATTAATCACTTGTTTAAAGATATGAGGGAAATGCATTGCAGTAGGTAACCTAAGAGAAAGAATCTCACCTCACAGACAAGGGTAGTTTGTTACCAAAGTTAAGGTGGAAAGGTGAGTTACCACCTCTAGCCTTTTGCAGAGGAAGAACAAGGAGATGGATCCAAAGCATTTGGAAAGGAGGTTTCTGTCTTTGATCACAGTTATTAAAGTTGCTATATTGGTTGAGTGTTCCTAATCTGAAAATCTAGAGTGCTCCGAAATCTGTAACTTTTTATGCATGACAGATTTTGGAGTATTCAGATTTGTGCATTAGGAATGCTCAGGTTGCAGAATTCACTCAGATATTCCAGAATCCAGAAACTCTTGAGAGACTTCTGAAAACATACACATCCTAGGTGTGGTGATCCGCAGTGTCATGATGAGGCGTTGTTGATCTATGGTGATGTGATGAGCGGTTGGTGATCTGCAGTGTTGTGATGAGGGGTTGTTGATTTCTGGTGATGTGATGAGTGGTTGGTGATACTACAGTGTCGTGATGAGGGGTTGTTGGTCTGTGGTGACGTGATGAGCAGTTGGTGTTATGTAGTGTCGTGATGAGGGGTTGGTGATCTGCAGTGACATAAGGGGTTGGTGATCTGCGGTGATGTGATGGGGGGTTGGCTGTGTATCATTCTTCTCCTGACATGTAGCAGGAGTACTTTAGCTTTGTTAGTTAGTGCTCTGTGCTTCTGTTTTCAGGATCTCTCTTTCTCAGAGTCTCATCTCTTCTCAGAATGACTGATCCTTGTATTAGTGCCCAGCAGACCAGCACAGACTTCTCTGTCCCACTGAGCTGCCATGTTGGAGGGTTGGTAATCTCAGCTATTGGCTCTTGCTCTGCTCTCGGGCTGCTCTCTTCTTATATTATTCACCCATTCCATCTTAGAAATAGAGAAACTGACTGTTAGCAAGTGTTACATGCTTTATTTATTTTCCTTTTCTCTTTTTTTCCTTTTTCTTTCTTTTTCTTTTCCTTTTTCTTTTTATTTTTACCTGTTTGTTCTTGTTCCAGCTTTACTTTTAGAAGCCCAGGCAACACCATTTCAGGTCACACCTTCAACTATGGCAAATACTGTGAAAGGCCTGTATACTCTCAGACCAGGTAAACATCTGTCACTTCTGTTGGGATTGGACCTGTTTTTTGTTTATTTATTAAGCCTTATCCAGGGGGCAGTGGTTCTTTGTGTGCTGTGTGAGGCCAAGTGGCATTTCGGTTTACCATAGAGAAAAACCGAGATGGCATCGGTGCGAAATCTCAACTCAGAACTCACTTGAAACTCTTTCTGTACTATGGAAAACCAACTTTGGTTTTGTAGCACCTTGACAGAAATACATAAAATAATTTATAGGATGCAGATTGGATAAAATTGAATCCCATTGAGCGTGGTGATGATGCTTACATTACCATTACTTGTGTTGCTGGGGCAGGAGGATGGTAAGTTCAAGGCCAGTCTGAAAGCTACATAGGCCCTTGTTGAAAAAACAAAGCAACAATAATACAAAACAAACGAAAACCACAAAAAAATGGATGTCTTAGTCTCTGTATTTGTAAGGAGCTTCTCCTTCCTGCTGTGAATCTGCTGGCACACCCACAGCCCTATCTTCTAGACATTAGGGAACTGGTAAGGGAGCTAGAGACATTGCTAAAGTTGTAATCATGAGGGTTCCAGGGAAGAGAAACAGAAACGTAGCACGAAGATTGCTGCATTCACAAGCAAGGCCTGTAAATTAGCTTTGTATACCCGCTTTACAGTAAGACCATCCTAGATAACGCTAGTGACTTTGCAGTTAGTTGTCTTCTGTTCCTAAGCCAGAGCTCAGCTTGTCACTGAGTTGTTGAGCTGTTTAAAACATGCCCAAGAAAGAAGCTTTCAGAAATTCTTGGTAGAACATTGTCCTAAGATCAATACATACAAAGGAGTTTTTGATAGTAATTATCATTGTGTGAAATCCTTTGGGTTTCCAGAGGTTAAATGAAATAAAGCACTATGTAGAGTCAAGACAGCAGCTGTTATTAACAGCATGGGAGTGTGAACCTCGCAGTCTGTGTTTGAATTCAGTCCTTGTTTCAATTAATTGATAATTTTGTTGGTTAATTAATTTAAAAGACATTTCAGAATTTAGCTTGCTAAAGTGAAAACCAAGTGAAATGGTATCAGGGACAAACTGATTTAAGAAATTATTTTTTCTCAGACTGCTTTAAAGTGATGAGCGACTTCTAGAGTGTTCAAGTTCATTGTAACTTTATAATTCTACTTTATAACTTTTATTGAATTATTTGTATAAAGGAATTGTATAAAGTTACAAGAATATTTTATTGCATATTCTAATAAACTAATATTTTTTTCTTTTTTCTAGTATCTAACTTGAATTTCATTTTGGTATAGTGTTGTGAAAATGGCCCATAAGTTTTTTTTTGTATTCTAGGTTATAAATGGTGTTTTTTTTCTTTTATGTTGTAATGCTTCCAAGTGTAGTATGACAAATTCTGTTCCTAAGTAGGCAGCTTTATCAGCTCTGGCCTTTTACATTTAGCAAAATTGTAGAATAAAGCTAATCAATACGTGTAGAAAACTGTGGATGCCTGTTTATCTAAATGCTGTTTTATCCAGGTTGAGCTCTTGTAATAGGATTTATGCTCCTCATGAGGAGAATTCTGTGTTTGAGAATTGTCCTTTTTAAAAGGTGAATTTTATCACAGACAAACCTTTTGCTGCCCCAGGTATTTTCAGACATACTTTTCAACATATTTTGACATTTCCATGTCCTGTCAGGACCCATTGTGTTCCTAGTCTAGTAAAGCAGTTCTATTCTCCTGACAGATTGAGGTTGGAATATTATAGAAGCTGAATTTTAAGCACAAACATGTCTTCCCCAGCAGGCGTTCTCCATGCTGGCCTTTGTGCCTGCTGCATCTGAGTCATCTGGGGAGACTTCGAACCATAGACCCACCTCATGCTTGGAGACTCTGAGGACCTAACATTGGTGCTGTTTCTTTCTGGGGCTTTAGCTCACTTTAGAAACTGCTGCAGTGATCTCATCTTAACCTTTATTCCTCTAATACACACTTCGGATCTTTGTTTTAATGACTACCAGAAGTTCCACAAAGTGGCAGAAAAAGCTGACTTCTGATACCTCACATTGATTGTTTAGTGGTTCTCACAGCACCACAGTAACACTGAAGCCACATGGCAGGAGGGACACCGCCAAGAGCTTTGCCATGGCTGGGGGGTGGGGGGATGCTGGCTCCAGCCACTCCAGACCTGCATCAAGTGTTTCTCTCTCTCTCTCTCTCTCTCTCTCTCT